CTGGGGCGCGGGGCTGGCTGGCAGCTGTGGGCAAAGGTGCAGCGGCTGCCGTGTGGAGAGGGAGCAGGGAGGGCCATGCAGCGGAGGGAGCAGAGCGGGGATCGGGCTCGTGCATGGCACAAGAACCCCACGCACTGGAAATCCATTGGCTCATTTGCAGGTGTCCTGCTGATGCCCTGGCCCAGAGGGCCAGCAAGGCAGCAGCTCCTTACCATGGCCATGTGGCTGGTGCTCTTGGTGGAGGAAAGGCAGAAGCGAGTGTGCTCAGCTTTGCCTTCCCTCTGGAGCCTTGGATGCTCTGCACTATTGCCTGCCAGTTTCCTGCCTGCATGGAAGGAACAACACAGAGGAGTCAGTAGGAGGGACCACCTGACCAAGGGGCTTTCCCGCCTACTGAAACAGGCTTTAAAGGAGTCCTGGGGAGTACATGGGAGCTGAAGAATTGCCAGGGAGAATCTATGGCCATTCCTAGAGGGAGAAGGGGAACTGCTTGCTGGGCTGAAGAGAGGGGGTTGAGTGCGGCAGCCTTTTCCCCTGCGAGGCAGGACAGGAGGCCTCACACGGCAGAGGTGCGTGAGGATGCGCTGCTCCTTGTGTGCTTGTCAGTGGGCTCCTTGGGCAGCCCTGCGCTCATGTAGAGCTGCTGCTCCCCTGCTCCTGCACTGCAAGGCTTTCCTGTTGCTCGTGGCATCTGAGCAGAGGAGTTTGGTGGCGTGAGGCTTTGCTTGGACAGCAGCCTGTTCCTGGAGGGACCCGTTGCATTGCACTTGCTCTTACTCTTTTGCTGCAGGGCGAATCGGAAGGTGCAGTGCAGAGCATTGAGAGCCACGGTGCTGATGCCCTGCTTCTTGGCAGCAGAGCACAGCAGGAGGTGAGCCATGAGCTTGCCCAGCATGTGGAAGTCCTCCTTTGCAGAGAGGGCAGGCTGGCCTTGGAGCCCTTCAGAGGAGGTGCCGCAGGCCTGGCGGGAGGAGGGAGAAAGTAGTGGGCACAGGGCTGCGGGCAGGCCCTTGTGCCAGAGGCTCTCGCAGCGCTGAGCACAAGGCAGGAGCAGTGCGTGCGGCAGCGCATCGTGCTCAGCACAGCGCGAGGCCTGAAGCCCGGGCAAGGGACTTGCCTCCTCTCACTTCCTCCCACACACAGCGATACATCTCCATGTATCCTTTTCCACAATACAAGTCTTCAGCTCTGTGCTATGCCTCTGACGTCTCTGAAGTCAGAAAGCTTATCTCTTGCTTGGCTTAGATGAGTGTGGCATTTCCCTGTGCAACCAAGCTCTCACATCACCAAGTATATAGCAGCCACAGGTTTTAATCCAGAGTAAACCTGAAAGTAAATTCAGCACCAGAAGGATGATTCACAGTGGAAAAGATCGAGCTTTAAAAAAAATATATTGTTTCTAGGTAAAGCCAAATTTCTAACTCAGATAAAAAGGGGAATTGGAAATATGAATTCAAGGACTTTTTCCAGCATTAGTGATGTGGGTAGTGGTTTTGCTTTTGTTTGTTTAAATTAATGTTATTTCATGTGTCTTTTTGCACAGACTTCTTTATTATTATATTGCTATAATACCCACAGATCGTAGCGGAAGGGCATTGCAAACAATGCACAGCATGGTGCCACATGAAAGAGAATATTATGGCTCTATTAAAGGCTTCAAAGCTTCAAGGAAATAACTTTTTTTTTTTCCTAGAGGTCTGTCTCCTAATAATACTATAATAATGCCCTTTAAAAAGAGCTATAATCTCATAATCTCACAGAACCCTCGTCTCCTTTTGGGTTTTTAGAGTTCTGTGTCATTTTTGGAAAAAAAGTCTTGTCTCAAACATAAAATGATATTGCAGTGATAAAAGAAAGAAAAACAATTATTTTGAAAAGTTTCAGTGAACAATTCTTCTACAGCTTACCATTTTTCTATACTGTTCTTATGAGTGGAAAGACTTGTAAGTTGTAGAAAGAGTGAAAATTTTCTTTATGCTTCTTTCACTATCTCAGCTTGTATCTTCATAGTTCTTGTACTGTATAGGAGATGGACATTTTTGTAATCTGTGGAGTCACAAATAATTATTGTCTGAAACAAAATCCAGACCTTGAAGGAAAAATACTGAACTTTGATAGTGCTCAGCAGAGGCCACCAACAAAGGAAGATTGTAACACCCGGATCTCTGAAGAGAAATGGAAAGCACGTAGTGGTTACATGTTATCCAAGCGAACAAAGAAGTTTGTTAGCTCAGGAGAAACAAGAACTGCTGTTCAGGCTTGTTTGATGCCAGCCTAACTACAAAATACCACCTAAGGAAGTTCGAAGGCCAAAGTCACTGTGAGAATGAGAAGGATAAGAAAAGAGAGACCACCAAATTGAGGAATGAGACCCCCTTCTGGAATGTGCACATGCGCAGCCCTAGAAGGGTTGTGTAATGGAAAGGTGGAGATATACCCGCCCCTGGGTGGCCTCCTAGCATGTACTGACCTTACGTGACTGGACGCCCTGGAGGATAAAACATGAGGATGGACTCAGATGGGACAGAGACTCCCAACATTGAGGCCAACATTGTCTCCCGCAGGGACACCCGCTACAACTGAGAGCCTGCCAGCCCCTTCAGTCTGCTATCTTGGAGAGATGCCAACTAGTTGAATTGGTAACTGTATGGTAGGCCATAGATGCCACACCAGAAAACCACATTTGCCATGTGTATATGAACCAGGGTGGTAGCATGGGGCTAGTATACTGGCTGCCAAAATGGAAGAGGGATGGGTGGCAAGTAGGATCAAAGGAAGTATGGGGAAAGGAGTTATGGATTAGGATGGATGAAGCCTTGCAGAATAGAGACGTGTGGGTGTTCCATGTGGATGCACATACCACACAAAACACAGAGACCGCACTGGGAAATGCAGCAGATAGATTTACGAAAATCCATAATGTAGAAATAAATGATGCAGAGGAACAAGCAATGGTGCAGTGGGCCCACAGGAAAAGTGGCCATGTAAGCCACCACATCCTGGGCCCAACAGTGAGGTGTTAAGATTATCAGAACAGGTAACACAGAGCGTAATCGCTGCCTGTGAAATGTGTGAACTGTGAAAGCAGAGGGAGGCATTTTCCCAGCCTTTAGGCCCTACAAAGCGGAGAACAGTAGGAGGGAAGGTGTGGTAGATGGATTATACTGGCCCACTTCCAGAATACTGAAGACAACGTTATGTATGTGTGGCAGTAGATACTCACTCGGGTCTCATGGTGGCCATCGTCAGTCAGTATGCCAATGCGCACATGACCATCAGGTGCCTAGAACTGCGTTACGGAACTCCTGTAGAGATACAGTCAGATAATGAATCCCACTTTAAAAACAAGCAAGTGATACAGTGGGTGAACAATCGACACATTTCCTGGACATATCATCTGCGATATCACCCTCAAGGGACTGGTTTGGTGGAATGTATGAATGGCCTATTGAAACAGCAATTGCAAAGGTTGGGGGGTGGGAAATACACTAAGTGGGTAGATCATCTGCATAAGGTGGTAAGAGTGCTCAATAACAGAGGTTTGACACAGGAATCAACACCCCTCCCCTTGATGAAGGGAATACCTCAAATAAATCACATTGTGGCTACTTCAATCATAACTTATAAGTCAGGGACTATGCTTAAAATTTTCCCCACCGAGGAAAGGCTGGTACTAAGTCATAAGGAGATACTTGAGTGCGATCCAGGAGGGATTTGCTGGTTATGACCAGACGTCCAGATGCATAATGCTCCCCATGCTGAAATTCTGTGATTGGTTTATCTATTTCCTTGGGAGCTGCCCAACAATTGGTTTTATTAAATCCTAGTCAGAGTGCAGAGAAAGACATGATATTGGGCATTAAAAAATTGTCTAGTCAAAAAGTTAAATTATTGCCTGGGCCAATAACAACTGTCATCCACGTACACCAAATTGTGCCTCAGGAGAAGCCATTTCAAGGATTTCCTGGGGGTAAATATGGCACATTCCCCCAGATTCTCATACTCCAATAGCAGCTGAAGTAATACCTGCTAATGATTCCCAGGCTGTGACTATTGTCGTAGAAGGGAATCCTGAGTGGAAAAGAGTTCGAAAGGACCATCTCAAGCGATGTTAGAGATCTTTTTTTTTTTTTTGGAGGGGGGGGATGTTAACAGAGTTTTGTGATCTTTCTCTTTACAGAACTTATGCGTACGCGGTACCCCAGCCAAAGGAGAATGTACAGATCATCCTAGCCAACGTAATTGAACAGCAACACATATGTCTCCGCATCGCTACCCACAACGATCCATTTTCCACCTGTATGGTGGGGGTACCTCTAAGTAAGAAAGAGCCAGTTAACATGGCAGGCAAATCCTTACTGGCTTCTTGCACTCAGATACTCAAAGAGACAGGAGGGCATGCATGTGACAAGCTTATTCCAGCATGGCATGCGTGGATATTGAGTGGGCCCCAAGGCATACCATTGCAGGAGCTGGAACTGCTGAGTTCGCTCCTGGCAGATAACTGTACATATTTTAACTATACTAACAGAAATCCAACAGCGGGATGGTGGGGAAATGCTGCCCATGGTATATGGACAAATAGCTCTGCCTGGTGCAATCATACCTGGAAGGAATGGACCATGTCAGGGCACACATCAGTTAATTTTCCCCCAGGACATTTCTTAATATGTGGGGATCAAGCACAGGCAGGCATCCCAGCTGGTATAAAAGGTGGACCATGTACCATGGGTCAGCTTACCATCCTCCAACCTAATGTAACAATGATAATACGCAAGATGACGGAATGACATTGTGTCCGAAGATTCACAAACTATAGAGAAGATTGTAATTCAGAGGTAGACTTCTGGACAGCGGAAGAGACTATGCTAGCATCCGCCCTTGCCCGAGGAGTAGCTGCTGCCTGAGCTCTAGCTATGCTACACAAATTAGGATGCTGGTTAGCAATATCTACTAATGCTATGTCATCACTATCAATGGATGTAGATTCAGTCTGACATGCTTCATTACAAAATCATGCAGCTATAGATATGTTATTGCTTGTGCACAGCCATGGATGTGAAGAAGTAGAGGGCATGTGTTATATGAACCTAAGCAACCACTCCAAGTCCATACACGCCCAGATCCAAGCACTGCAAGATCTAACCCATCAATTAAAAATTGATTATGATTGGAACCTACTGGGAGATGGAAATGGGGTTGGCCATGGCTTCAAAAACTTTTGTTGGGGTTATTGTTCTTATTCATTACATTTATCTGTATCATGTGTTGCATTCCGTGTGCAATGGCATTGGTACATGGAATGACAGAGATGGCTTTAAAGACCTTATCTGTTTGAGTTCTTCAGTATAATAGGTTGGCCTCTGCTGATCACGAGGGGTATGTAGGAGAGGTGGAAACTTCTCGGATTACCACTACTGATGAAGAATTTTCACCCACTGCGACCAGTATCTAAACGCCTCCTATCATAGTCAAGGGCAAGACTGGGTTGGCCTCTATGTTTGCCCCCAAGAAGAACCTTGAGCTCCACTGTTGGCTGCAACCCATTAGGGGTTGAGCGGTGGGAACACATGCCATGCCAGACCTTGATGTGAGTGATGGCCACCTATCTGTCTGAGGGCCACCTGGGAGGCAAGTGTATGCCAAGCGGTCTGCTGTTAATGCTTATTTATGACCTCTATAGATCATGGGGTGGCATGTATTGGAGATGGATATTTTTATGATCTGTAGAGTCACAAATAATTATTGTCTGAAACAAAATCCAGACCTTGGAGGAAAAATATTGAACTTTGATAGCGCTCAGCAGAGGCCACCAACAAAGGAAGATTCTAACACAGAGATCTCTGAAGAAGAACAGAAAGCACATAGTGGTTACACGTTATCCAAGCAAACAAATAATTTTGTTAGCTCAGCAGAAACAAGAACTGCTGTTGAGGCTGGTTTGCTGCTAGCCTAACTACAAAATGCCATCTAAGGATGTTTGAAGGCCAAAGTCACTGTGAGAATGAGAAGGATAAGAAAAGAGCGATCACCAAATTGAGGAATGAGACCCCCTTCTGGAATGTTCCCATGCGCAGCCCTAGAAGGGTTGTATAACAGGAAGGCGGAGATATACCTGCCCCTGGGTGGCCTCCTAGCATGTACGGGCTGTATGTGACAGGACGTCCCAAGAATAAAACCTGAGGGCAGACTTAGATGGGACGGAGACTCCCAACATCGAGGCCAATGTGGTCTCCCGTGGGGATCCCCGCTACCATTGAGAGCCTGCCAGCCCCTCCAGTCTGCTCTCTTGGAGAGATGCGTGGTCTCGTAGTCCTGTTGGCAAGCATTATTCAGTAAGTAACCACTTCGTAACCGTTTGTACTTGTATCTGTGTTGTTTTGATTAAAGGCGTCAGTGTCAGTAAGTCCGTCTCATCAGATATATCTTTATTGCTGAGTCCCGAGCCCATCCAGCTTACATTACTACCAGCACAGGTACTAATGTAAATGTAATAATATTTTGTACTCCAGAGAATGAATTCCTCATTGACTGTACCTGTCAGGTGTAAAACCATAGAAGGACATATGCCCCTACAATTTAGGGCTTATGTTTTTTGAGGGAAATGGCCAGAGGAAATGAGACACAGAGTAGTTACAGGTGGGCTTTAAAGAAACCAAAATTTTTTGAGTTAGTGAGTACTTTTAGTTTGCATAAAGCTGATATTTACAGATGCTTATTAGGGAGCCCAAACATTTAGATCTACAGTTCTGGCACACCATAGCTCTAGAATCATGACATAAACCTTGGGTATTTCCCAATCTGCATTTGGTGAAGTGTGATCTTGAAGTCCCAGGCATTGTAGGTGACACATATATCAAGCTATCCAAGTCATGGATTAAGTAAACTTTTTTTTTTTTTTGCTTTTGTTACGCAAACTTTTACTATTATAGCTGCCATTACAGTACATTGGAGAAACAGCAGTGACTTCACATTCCTTTTTGTGTCACATGGCTAAATAACTGATATCTTATCTGCAACATCTGAAACTTAGGCATTACTCTGGAATGCTAATCAGGATAGGTACATTACCTGTGTAACACCTAGAGGTAGGGGAGATAACAGTAACAAGTGGGAGATTCTAACCTGGGTGAATAACTTACCTATGGAGTGGGACTTGGCTGGGCGACTGAAGTCTTCCCTGTGTGTGGCTGATTCTTTGTTGCCTTCCAAGCAGCACACATAAAGAACTGGATGCTGTTCCTTCTCCAAAAGATCCTCCAAAACTTACCATCATTCATATATTTGACAAAGATTTCTGAGCCCTGAATTTTGCTGGATGGTGAACTGACTCTTTGGGTGGCAGTCCTCCAGTGCAGACATATTTTGTGGTTATCTGGTGGGGGTGCAACAGTAAAATTAACCTGAGTGTACATTCAAGAAGATAGCAAGGTGAAGATATCAAGGTGAAGAAGCTTCTGCCTGGACCATTCTCTCTTGCTGTGCTGAAGAGCAGACCATATTGTGGCCTCAGAGAATGCTGAGTCCTTGCAAAAAACGCTCTGAAGCAATGAGAAGTGTAGAGTATCCTTTATGAGGCTGCAAGGAGAAGAAGTATCACAATAGCATACAGAAATCCATCCCATGCTGTACATAAATACTAGCAGTTTTGCCGGCCAGGAGAGGCCAGACATCCAGAAGAGGCATGTCTGTTCTGTAGCAGGTGAACTTTTAGCATTAGTTGAACTGGTGGAAATGGTCTGTCATAAGGCAAATGTGTTCACAGACCTGTCAGTCTGACCTCGGTATCAGGGAAAGTTATGGAGCCAATTATCTTGAAGGTGACCGCAGAGCATGTGTGTGACAACCAGGGAAGCAGGCCCAGACAATATGGCAGGTCCAGTCTCATCAACCCAATCTCCTTCCATGACTAGGTGACCTGCCTAGTGGATGAAGGAAAGGCTGTGGATGAGGTCTACCTAGTCTTCAGGAAGGCCTTTGGCACAGTCCCCCACTGCCTTCTCCTGGAGAAGCTGGCAGCTCAAGGCTTATACAGGTGGAGTCTTTATTGGGTGAAAAACTGGCTGAATGGCCAGGCCCAGAGAGCAGTGGGGAATGGAGTTAAATCCATCTGGTGACCAGCCACGAGTGGTGTTCCCCAGGGGTCAGTGTTGGGGCTGTTCCCCTTTATCTATGATCTGGATGAGGGGATTGAGGAGGCCCTCCCCCTCAATCCCCTCAGCAAATTTGCAGACAACACCAACCTGGGAGGAAGAGCTGATCTGCTTGAGGGTAGGAAAGCTCTGCAGAGGGATCTGAACAGGCCTGACATCAGCCATACGAGGTTGAACAAGGCCAAGCGCCAGGTCCTGCACTTGGGTCACAACAAGCTCATGCGGCGCTACAGGCTGGGGGCAGAGCAGCTGGAGAGCTGAGGGCAGAGAAGGCTCTGGGGTTGCTGGTTGACACGAGCCAGCAGTGAGCCCAGATGGCTGAGAAGGCCAAGGGCCTCCTGGCTGCTGTCAGGAACAGGGTGGACAGCAGGAGAAGGGAAGAGATCATCCCCCTGTGCTCAGCGCTGCTGAGGCCGCACCTCAAACACTGTGTTCAGCTCACTACATGGACATGGAGGTGCTGGAGCGAGTCCAAAGGAGGGCAGTGAAGCTGGTGCAGGGGCTGGAGCACAGACCTGTGAGGAACGGCCAACGGAGCTGGGGTTCTTCAGTCTGGAGAAGGGGAGACTCAAGGGAGACCTTATTGCTCTCTACAGCTACCTGAAAGGAGGCTGTAGTGAGGCAGGGGTTGATCTCTTCTCCAGAATAACTACCAACAAGACAAGAGGAAATGGCCTCAAGTTACAAAAGGGGAGGTTCAGGGTAAACATTAGGGTGAATTTCTACACAGAAAGAGCGGTAAAACCTTGGAACAGGCTGTGCAGGGAAGTGGTGGTGTCACTGTCCATGGCAGTGTTCAAGAGATGTGTACATGAGACTTTTAGGGACATGGTTTAGCAGGCCTGCTGTTGAAGAGCTTCAGGCAGGACTTGCTGATCTTGAAGGTCTTTTCCAACCATAATGATTTTATGATTCTATGAAATGGGAAAGAATTGATTGTCTGATTGACTGTTTTTAAGACAGCATGTTAAATACAGTACAGCTTACATATTCAATAGATTTAATCGAATTTTGCCAACAGATTTTTAGACAAAAAGATATCACAGAATCACAGAATGGTTGAGATTCCTCTACGGAAGGGACCTCTAGATATCATCTAGTCCAACGCCTCTGCTCAAATAGGGACACTAAGAGCACGTGGCACAGAGTGGTGTCCA